ACTGTGGTTACTGTAATAAAACCATGGTTAGATTTTTGTAAAAGGCTGCCAGGCTGTTGTACCCCTAAAGGTGAAACTTTAGCATGTTTTTTTCTGACAGATTTATTAACAGCAATTATAGAACATGACACAATCCATTTGAACTTTTAACAGCAGTTTAAATAAATTTACTTGCACAGACTAGCCAATTTAAAATAAATATTACATGTACACAAAAGTTTGGGGTCAGTAAGATTTTGTAATATTTTTTTAAGTCTCATGCTCACCAAGGCTGCACTTATTTGAAAAAACAGAGAAATGGTTCTATTCAACACAATTATTCGCTAATATAGTCTATTTTTCCACTTAGAAGCTTATTTTATGCCCCGAATTTCTTGATAAGTAAATAAAATTAATGTTTATAAAAATGCACTTTAGAATCGATATTTTTATGTGAGGATCGATCCTTTCGATACAACATCAGTATCGAAAGTATCGATACTTAAGGATCGATCCAACCCATCCCTAGAAGGGAGTCAAAAGATTCGCTTGAATGAATCATAGCACCTGGCGTACATTTTTAGACAAATGTGGTGTTACCTAATTGTTGCTATTGTAAAACCATAACGGGATGATCTTTCATTTACAGACACAGACTTCCGCGAACACTTAATCCACAACCATGGACAAATACTTTCTCCACGGAAACTAAAGTAAACAATTGTTTTACTAGGCTCGGTGTACTACTGTTGAAACTGCTACAACTTAATAATATTATATATGATATTATATACTTCTTAGTATGCATTTCTTGTATGTAGAAGATAAAAACGCCTGCTAAATGAATACGTGTAAGCGAAGGTAGCTTGTGGGATGTCATTTTGTGAACTGAAGTGCTTCTGTTGTTGCTCGGCAACAAGCGTCATAAGTTTGTGTAAAGTCTCTAGGAGGGTGTAACGTTAACTGAAAAGTTTGAGACTTCAGTAACTGTAAAGTCTTTTCAGTGAATCGAATGATTTCTGTTATTTATAATTCCTTACCTATTTTTATTATTTTTTTAAAAACAGCACACTTGAATGGATCTGCACATTTCTAGATCATTAACAATATTATATATTATATTATATACTTCTTAGTATGCATTTCTTGTATGTAGAAGATAAAAACGCCTGCTAAATGAATACGTGTAAGCGAAGGTAGCTTGTGGGATGTCATTTTGTGAACTGAAGTGCTTCTGTTGTTGCTCGGCAACAAGCGTCATAAGTTTGTGTAAAGTCTCTAGGAGGGTGTAACGTTAACTGAAAAGTTTGAGACTTCAGTAACTGTAAAGTCTTTTCAGTGAATCGAATGATTTCTGTTATTTATAATTCCTTACCTATATATATATATTTTTTTTTAAAACAGCACACTTGAATGGATCTGCACATTTCTAGATCATTAACATGACTGAAGTGAAATGTTTAAGGGGAGAATCTGGTGATTCAGTGCTCGACTGGTCTTGTAAAGGAGAGGATGAGGAGTTCAACATTTGTGGACGCTGTCAGTCGTGTGTCCTCTCTGAGAAACTGCACCACTCCACCCAATGGATGAAAAAGGCTGGAGGATCATCCCAGAGGAGGTTTCTCACTGGCATCCTGGTGTGGTGCCACAATCTTCAAATCCTGGAGAATCTTCAGAGTGTTTTACAAGTCACATCAGGCAAGGATTTCACATATGCCAGGTCCAGAGGCCAGCTCAGCCGACCCGAGGACTCTATATGTACAATGTATGGAGCACTGGACACAAAACTGAAAGGAATGGACATGTTGGAAACTTGGGAATGGTTTAGGAAGAGCCCAGACTGGATCAAGTCCAAGTATGTGCTGGGGCTCTTGTCTTTATGTGACACCTCTCTTTTGCACATGTTAGGAAATCTGGTGCATATCCTGATTGTTTGGGAGAAACACAAATTTCTAAAATTCAGCAGTCCTGGTAAGAATGCACATAACACCGCCAACTGTACAATGGTTATGAAAAAATAATAAAAAGCATTACATATTAGCAAATTAAAATTCACAAAAAGGATTTTAGTAAATGGCATGAGCCTATATGATTTCTAGTAAATTATAAGTGCCAAAATCAAAAGACAGGTCTTGAAATATACAACGTGTTGTAAATATAGTACTCATACGAGTTCAGCATTTTTCACCAAAGTATATCCATGTATATCAATGCTTGTAGTTGAAGTGCCACAATACTGTAGTTCTTCTGTAAGCTTTTTTTTTTTTAACAGATACATTGAAGGCTTTTAAACATGGTTGTTTTATTAAAATATAGTATCTTGCCTGATTATAGATTTTTATGCAGATCTCTCTGTTACAGAGTCACGAGTCTCCTACCATTCAGAATCTGACCACACAGATCTAGATCTTCTCATCCAAGCATGTTCTGTATATGAGCCAGCTGACCTGCCTCAAGCTCACCAGGGCTGTCAAACAGAGCTTTCAGAACAGTGTAAGTAGTTAGCTTTTTGCATTAGTGATCGGATATTCCATATTAAAGTAAATATATTTATAAGTTGTGGGTTTACTATTCACTTATTATACAGTGAATGACTCCAAATCTCTCAAGAGTATCTGTGATGTGGTTGAGCTGGACGTTCAGAATGTAGACCCCTGGAACAGAAGAACAAAAGGCCAAGATTCAGACTCGGACTGTTCGTATGATCCAGATCCTGCCCTCACTGTCGTCCCCAGGTCGTCAAAATCTCTGTCAGGGGTCAGCCGTCATAGAGATTTTATTCGAAGCCTGCCAGTCGACATTGCAAAGAGGATTTTAGGTTAGTCTAGTTTTTACACACATGAAGCTAATAAGAGATTGACTGTTCAGACTTACTGTCAGAATTAAGTATAAACAGATTTTATTTTAATTCTCTATAATGTCTGTCACTTTTAATATTCTCAGATGTTATACATTTTGATGCTTTATTTTAAATTGATTGGTATATGAGTGCATGCTTGGTGCATGTCCTTTGTTTTCGTCACCTTTGTCTTTTCAGACCTATGAAATAGTCTAGACTTGTGCTGCTATAGAAACAATTGTATTGCCTGTGGACAAGGTTAGGTTGACTCTAAAGCTACTCTTTACCTAGACTAGAGTGTAAAAGACTTAGCAACTGAACTTAAAACACACTAATGGCAAATATTTTTTTCAAGAGCTCTAATTCTAAGAGAAATAATTTTTCTGAAATTACTATTATCAGAAATTCTTGTATCTGAGCTTTAGTTGCCATAATGTATATTTTAACATATAATATCAAATTATCTTTATGCATTTATATTAAATGATCTTTATGCAATTATGCATTTGTCATCCTAAAGGTAGCCTAGCAGCATCCAGACGTATGGACACATAGCAGTTATTTAGACATAATATTAATCTTTTTCTCCTGTTTTACATATTTTCATATTTTTTTGTTAATGACACTTAGGGCTTTTGGATAAGGTCTCACTGTACAGCTGCAGGCATGTGTCCATGCACTGGCAATGGCTAACGGAGGAGGTCTTAACCGAGTTGGAAGTAAAGAAGAGTGTTGAGAAACAGGCCATGACTCTGCAGGTAATACATAACAGAATAAACAATATCTATGTGATTTTTGACATCTCATGGATAACAAATATATCAGTGTAACCTGCAGATCAGCTGGTAGAACGTGGTGTTGGCAATAGCAAGTTTATGGATTTGATTCCTAGGAAACACACCTACTGTTAATATCCATATCTTCAATGCACAATGTATTGCTTAGGATAAATTTAAAACACACCAATTTTGTGAGTGTGATCATTTATATTTGGTCTGTCTTTCTTTTTTCTGCCACATGAAAGTAGTTCAAATGAGTCATGTAACTTTGTTCTCAATGTTACAATTCAACCCTGATCATTTGTATGCATTTTCAGGGTAACTCAGCGTCTAAGGTCAACCCTGTTTATGCAAAGATCTGTGAAGTTGTAGTGCCAATCAGTGAGGAGGACAAGCATGTGCCCAAACATAAGCTGGTACAAAACGCCACCTTTTGCACTCTGAATAGAAACTGAAACACACTTTTTAATATCTTCAACAATTCTTGTGTTTTTAGTTACAAGAGCAGGATTTGGATTCTATCTACAAAGGCTTTAAAACCAAGACAGTCCAATTGGAAGAACGCAACGTGTACTGTGGAGTGTATAACATATCAGTCCTGTTGGAAAGGTAGAAAACATGTAAGAATATACTGTAAGATACATGTGTTAAATATATAGATGCATCATAGTTTTAATACTTCCTGTCCCTTTTTTTTGCTCCATTTAGAGAAGATCCCAGTAGAGTGATGCATTATGCTGGGGGGCAATTATTGGCGGTTGGCTCCAAGGACCGTATAATCAGGTTGCTGCATGTCCCATCACTAAAAGAGATTCCTCCAGTGATCCAAGGACATGCAGGTAGTATAAGAGCAGTGCTGGTTTGTGAAGAGAGAGACCTAGTTATCAGCGCCAGCTATGACCTCAGTATCAGGTTAGTCAAACATTACTGTGGTTGTTTAACAAAGTAAGACCAGAGACAACAGTGCTTCATTTCTGTACTCCGCTCAAAGGTGCTGGAATCTGAAGACAGGTGTATGTATGATCATTTTTCATGGACATTTTGGGACTATAAACTGCCTGGATTTGTATGAAGATAGACTGGTGTCTGGAGCCAAAGACTGTAGAGTTAAAGGTAGGCAGTTATGACCTGTATACAACTATAACAACACAATGCTGTATAATGTCATTATGCCATTAATGCCAAGTTCATACTGCACGATCTGCATAAAAATCTATAATCAGGCAAGATACTATATTTTAATAAAACAACCATGTTTAAAAGCCTTCAATGTATCTGTTAAAAAAAGTCAAGTGTGACTTGTTTTTTTGACCGTTTAACATATCCGAATCATGTCCATGATTTTTGTGTGTGTTCATATTGCTAATGTGACAAAAGTCACCAAGTGTCATCTCATTCCGATGAAGCTAAGATTTTTACAATTTCAAAATATTAAATTTTTCGGTCAAAAATGGCCAAAGAGGGCCAGAGGTTTTTAATGCATGCCGTTAAATCCCTGTACTCCAATTAGTAAATGTGTGTTGTCCTGGCCAAAATGATGCACAATTGCCATTCTGGGATGATCAGATGTGCTGTCATTAGCATATTGTCTGCACTCACTGGCATACTGTACACCAACAGACCAAAGCCTAACAGCTTGAAAGAATATATGTATTGTATATCTATTTGTGTATATTCATCACAGTGTGGAACCTACGGACAGGGAAATGCGTTGAGAATCTGAAGTTTAAACACCTTAAACCAATCATGTGTGTGAAGATTAATGAAACACTGGTGATCAGCAGCTGTGCTGGAGGTCAGATCAGAATATGGAGCATGGAGACAGCATCACTAATAAGGGTGAGATGCTTCATGATCTTTTCCAGAGCACAAGCATGTGTTTTTAACCTTAGAAAAGCTTTGATTTAGAAAAAAAAAAAAACATAAAAATATTGGCGTTCCTGACCTCGGCAACATGTTCTCTGTGAAACTGCTACTGAGTAGTTGAATGCTAGATGTTCTCCCTCGCTTGTAAATTCTTCCTCATTACAGCAAATCAGTGGCCACCAGGGGGCAGTGCTGTGTCTGTGCATCAATCAGTGGCATATCCTCTCTGGGGGTTCAGATGGGGTGGTCAAGGCATGGAGCACCAACTCTAGCTTCAAGAAGTGCCTGAGGATCTTCCAGCATCCGAAGTAACTAAACAGTTTTGTCATCAGTGACCTTACAGCTGGTCATCCTCATTAATAACCTTTAATACCATAACTGTGCACTTTCATAAATGGTTTGCTCTCTTGCCTATTCTCTATTATAATCTTTAGAGAGGTGTTGACCATGTCTTTCCTGTTCCTGCGGATCATTACTGGCTGCATGGACGGAAAGATCCGGATCTTCAACTTCTTAACTGGAGACTGCCTGAGAGTTATTAAGACAAACATGAAGCAATGCCCTGTCCTTTCTCTGCACACGCACCACAACACGTGAGTGTACCCTACAGCCGGACATATCATACAATTTTGCAATGCTGTTCTTTCTTATGTTATGTAATTGGAAAAAGATGTTGTAATAAGGTTTGATTGATGTTTTTTGTCATGCTTTCAGTGTGGTTGTAAACAACAGAAGCAGTGTTCTGATGCTTCAGTTTGCGGAGGTTCACTGGGACTACTCTGCCAGTGCTGTGAGGAATTTTTTTGAGCAGTCCCACGTCTCCCCTGAGAATGTGCTTCGGAGTGCTGAACGGATGACTCGTGGGAGCTCATCTAGACAAAAAAGTCGTTCCCACCATTTTAAGAGCCTCTCAACCCCCAGTATGCAGCGTGCACAAGGTACAACCTTTCAAATATATTATAGTCAAATTTATATACAGAACATAATTTAAAATCTTTGCTTACAGTGGTTTATGAACTACAATAAGCAACAATTATTTATACTATTAAAATAAATTATTAAATAAATGCGTTGTTTATTAAATAATTAGTATATATAAATATAAATATTATATTATAAAGTAATATAAATAGTAGAAATACCGAAATCTCATAAAACTGTTTTTCAAGTCAAGATTATATTTAAACAGTATAATTAAAATCAGAACAAATTTTGACAAGAAGTATAGTAATTTTTCTTCTTTAGCTCAAATCGCAGTGAAAAATAAAAGGTTTTTTTTTTTTACACATAAAAAGCAGCTGATACCTCAATCAAAAATCCAGTTGCCTCTTTTAACCATATTAACCATTACAATTTTTCGCTTTCATTTTTATATGAATGCTCCATCTCCTTTCCCTACTGTTGAATATACAGATATGTTATTTACAAGTGTGCAGATGCTATTTACAAGTGTGCAGTTTACAAATGTACAAATTTTGGATTCTATGTATCAGTGTATTACAGTTAAGAAAGTTTTAATTGTTCAGGCTGAATATAGCCTGAGAGAAAAAACTGTTTTTGTGCCTGGCTGTTCTGGTGGTCGGTGCTCTGTAGCGCTGACCAGAAGGCAACAGCTCGAAGAGAGTGGGCTGGCTGTGTGGTGTCCAAATAGATTTTCTTAGTATCGAAAAGGAAAAAATGTTGGATGGTGATTTGTTTCAATCCACCGGTTTTTCGTTGGATGGATGCAGATCTAAATGTAAGCTCACAGTCTATTGTAAGAAAAGTAAATGTCTGGATAATTCCAGTATATGTCACTAGAGAGAAGTCTGTCATTTCATCAGAAGATCAGAAAGTTATGATATTTTTATTAAACATTATGAGGTCAAAATTGCAAAAAGAAATGAAACATGCATCAATGAATCATTAACATGCATTTAGAAAATAGATAGGGTGAATTTTCTTTTCATGCCGACTTTAACATTGCTGTTTTGTAGCTTTAGATGCTCAGCAGGAGTCCACAAAGCCACTCCAGGCTTGTCGTCCCAGCAGGGCCTCCATCAGCCCACAGTCTGAGTCCCATGCCAGGCCTCGATCTGTTCTTTCAGCAGGTAGGCCTGTCAGTGGATACAAGGACTTTCAAAACAGAGTCAGCCAGAGACAAAGCACTTCCACCAGCAGCTTGGGTAAGAAAGTAACCGAATTAAAATTATTTGATATGCAAATGCTTAAAAGCTTTATAGGACATTATTTAGACATTAACCCTTAAATGCATTAATGTTTCGCCAATCATTATTACATATTCGGGTCTTTAGCGACCCGGACCAATATATCCAGCACGGATGGATCGCTAACTGCTGCAATAGCAAAAAAACCTCTCTTGATATTTTAAGAACAATTGCAGAAGAATAAAATAAAGCATATTTCGTTACCTTTTGAAAAGGGTTCAATTTGAGCAGATGATTTTACCATCGCTGTCATCGATGGAGCACACTTCCACATATTCAGCATCTGCCTCACATTCACGATCTCAACTATATTCTCAAAACTATCGTTTTCAATGACTTCATATTCAATATTTTGATCACTGGCAGCTTATTCACCAAATCCAGCGTCAAATGACAGTGACATTTATATTTCATTGCGTTTAGTAGTTGCTCTGCAGTAAAGCCATTCAAACCACTTCAATTTTTGCTGATGATATTCGTTTGTTTTATGCCTGCGGTAATTATGAGTGAAACGTCACGTCATTATTGTGTATCAAACAGTGCCACCTTGAGGAAAAAAGATGCATTGCACACATACCTCAGGTCTGTAGCGACCCTATACACTTAAAAAAAAAAAAATGATCAGAAAACAAGCATTCTTTTATATTTTACTATTTTTTTCTTGTTATATTGTTTATAATGAATAGATTGAGG